AGTGACTGCTTTCAATCTTACTCTTTACACCAACCAACCAACTTCTTGCACCAGCAGAATAAAACATAACGATTTAAGGCACTAAACATTATAGAAATATACGTAAGAAACTACTTTCGACAGTTTTCTGCAAACCTTTTTAAAACTAAATTTAGAATTTATCTCTCTTATGCACCTATTTAGTGACGAACAAAAGTATTGGCTATAATTGTTTCGCTATAAGTATCACTTTTTTTCCTTTTAAGAGATAATTAAATGAATTAAAGAAAATATAATTGATAATTACTCATCCTAACGAAGTACTTTTTTTGGTGTTCAAAACTTAGTTTATAAATGGTAAAAAACAGTGCTAAAGTCCAGATATCTTGCTATGCCAATACTTTTGTTCATCACTGTATGTATATAAATTATAATTGTTTATTTATATTTGCACAATCTACTTTCATAAAATCAACATGCCAAGCATAACGAGATTAAATGAATTATATGTGTTGTTTTCGTACATTGTCCATGCATTCCGATCTTCATTTCTATACCTATAGATATACAATTTCCAGTGAAATCATATGTGACATTGTTGTGTTGATTTGAATAAATGCATGTTCATATGAAAAAATTTTAGACATTCCATACATACATGATATATGTATGTACATACATATGTATTTCTCAAATAACATCAAGAAAAGAGGTAATCTTTCGTTGCACCGAAGTTTTAATACCCTTCATAGGTACATTTGTTATAGCTAAATTTTAAAACATTGTTTGATATAAAATAAAAACTTTCAAGTCAAATTAAGGCAAACAGATATTTTATGAAGACTTTTAATCAGATTTTGATCGATCCGATCTGAACAATTTGTTCCGAGATTACTATGTCAAATATAAAAGTTTTCCACACAATAAAAAACAATAACATAAATTTTCGAGCCAGTGCTGTTAACCTTAACCTTGAAGTATTTTGCGAACTTTTGCATTTTATATATTTTTGAATGAATAAAAATATAGAAATGCGCTTGCACGCTGCTATTGTTGTATCGATTATGTACTATTTGTTTACTCGTAAGATTTTCAGAGCGACGGAAACAAATTAATGGTGCCGGCCACAGGTCATTTTGACGGTATTGGAAAGAGAAAGATGTTGAATAAGGAATTTGCAAAGTTAGAACATGCCATTGGAATTCGTTTCATGAGGGATATACAAAATAACATACTTATATAAATGATTAGCGTGATGAGCTAAAGCGAATTAGCTTCCTCAAAAAGTTACTCATTTCTCGGAACTGTCGGAACCGGATCACATAAAGCTGTCATAGCATGAAAACGATGAAAATCATGTTTTTGAATGGAAAATTGTTTTATACGGTGATTATATCTTCGCGAAATTTAACAAGTATTATTGCCTTAGGTAACAGTAAAAACTCCGGAAAATAATTCAGATCGGACGACTGTAGCATATATCGTCACATTCAAAATAACGTAACAACATTTCCGAAAATTTACAGTGGCGTGAATGAAACCAAGAAATAAAATGGAGCAAAAGTGAAAAATATTTTATAATTGGTTAAAACTGGTTCATATCTGTTCTGAGCTCAGAACCTGAAAATGTTCGACATACATACATATGTAATATTATGTATGTGATTTGAAGTAGTGAATCGTAATCAATAGGATACTAAATTTCGATTTGTTTGATGTTTGATGTTATTTTGCATTTTAGGTGACGATATGCATCTGCCCATTCCCGGTCGGGTTTAAGTAACCGGAACGTGCTCAAATTTTTATCCGGCCAAGGTCTGTCAATCCGGCACCATTCCTCGAAATAACTTCAGAACTGTTTTCTGCCGCCACAACAACTCATCAAACCTATTTTATTTGAGAAGGTTATTACAGCTTCGGTGCAGCCGAAGTTAACGTTGTTTTTTTTTCTAGTTTTAAATGTCATAAGAACCAAATGTCCCAAAAGTGCATATAAAGCAACTTAAAAGCGGATGACGTTTTAGTTAACACAATTAAAAATATACATACACATTCCTGTATTGAGGAATTTCTTTACTAAACTTTTTTGCTGCGATGGTAGAATGTATTGGAGTGAGTTTGAAAGTGTAATTATACTAATAATAAATATTAGTACCATATAAGTATATGTTTGTGTGTATGTACCAGACATACGGTGATTCATAATAAACTGCTTGCACTAAGCAAATAATACTTTAAATAACAATATAAACCATTATACATACTATATGTGTGTACAGTCGTGGGCAGATAAAGAGCACACTTTGAGCATGTACTAAATAACAGAAAACAATTTGACATTTTTCATCAGCATAGCATAAATTGAGAAATAATGAGTTATGTACACACCTGCTCAAAATAATAGTTACACGATTAAACTTAGTACTCTCAATAGTTTAAATAACTTTTTATGGGCTTTATGCGACAAGTTATGCTGTAAGTTTAATTAAGATAATATGGCATCGTCCTTTCTAAGAGAATGAAGCAACGTGATTCCCCGAATTAATGCGTGTGAGAGTTTTGCGTGAATATTTAGAAAAAAAACTTGCTCAATATAATAGTTACACATAAGTGAACTTAGCTTTTTGTGAAACAAAGCTAATTTTATTAAGTTTTTCAAGTTGTCTTTATCTGAATTGGAAAGTTTCCTTTCATTAAAGCTCAAAATGCTGCAGATAAAATAAATTATTTTTTTATCAGATGGGTCGGAAATCACATTGCACTTTTGAAGAAACCCAGCTGGTTTCAAACCTCCTAAAGCAAAGAAAATCACTTCCGGAAACTGGGAAATGTCTCATAATTTTGTTAAAAACGCTTTAGAGCAAAAATTTAGTACAAAAAAAGAGTACAGTTCTTCACCGCCAAATTGTAACTATTTGTAAAAAGGACCCATTCAAGTCGTCGAAGGTGATAGCAGCAGAAATTGGAAATGTAGTAAGTGCCCAAACAGTTCGCAGGCGTTTACAAAAGGCCAAGCTACCAGGACGTATAGCTAGGAAAGTGCCATTAATGCGATCAAAAAATTTAGATATGAGGTTAAATTTTACAAAAGGTCATTTAGATTGGTCAGGACCTGAGGGAACAAAAAAGTGGAGAAATTAAATTTGTTTGAAAACGATTGTGAGAGAAATGTGCGTCATCCAAAAGGAAGGGAGTTTCACGTTCGATTCACAAAAAAAACTGTGAAGCATGGAGGTGAAAACTTCATGGTGTGATAAAGTTTTTCTTGGTATGGAGTAGGTCCTACATACCTGGCAACAAGGAAATACTTGAAAATGTACTTCCCATTACGTCGGGTATATCAGCAAGATAATGACCCAATTATATTGAATTGGAAGTGGCCAAGCCAATCCCCGGATTTAAATCCAATAGAAAACCTATGGGGAAATCTAAAAAAAAATTTACGAGTCAATCTTTCTCTAACAAACACTAGTTTTATGGGAGTGCATAGAAAAAACTTGGTTTGAGATACCTAAAGAAAACTGTCAGACTTTAATCAGTAGTATGCCCAAACGAATAAATAAAGTTATCCAGAATAATACTGGCTATTAACTGAGTAATGTTAAATATACAACAAAACTATTTCATCATAATTTGTTTTTCCAAAATAATTTATTTCTTTTTAAATGAAGTTTATTTGATTTAGCTTGTAAATATTAGAAAAATATAAGTACGTTTGCGTTTTTCTTAAAAATTTAAATTTCACGAGCTTTACTTAAAAAAGAATTGTGTAACTATTATTTTGAGCAGGTGTGTATACGAATTCAAAAGATTTTTCAATTGCTCTTCTTAAAAAAATTATTCAGTTTTCAGTTCCAGTATGCCTGACACCTGGGGCGATGGACAAATGGTTTGCCATCTTCGTTTTATTGCTGTAAAGTACATTTTTCCAAAATTTCACATCCTTTTCTAAAAGTTCTTTAGCAAAGTTTAGCCCTGCTCTAATATTTCTTTTGAACAACAATGTTTTTTCGACTCATTCGCCCAAACAACTAAGCATCATTGAAACGCCTTTGTATAAGTCTACTACATATGCTAAAATCAAATTCATGTTGATGTTGTAGCGGCAGAATTATGCCAATTTATCATTTATTTCAGCCATATTCTCTGGAACAGATTTAAAAGGATCCACATTTATTTTTCTGATGATGGCTCCAACAGCATGTTCCGTTGTTTTACGGGCAAGAGATTTAACGATCACTTTTAACCAAAAGTAAAGCGTTAAATGCCATTTTTCTTAAACAATTCATAATTTTGGCGATTTGAGTTAGATTTTTGAGAGAGTACAATGGAAACTTCTACCCAATTTTAAATATTTAAAATTTTTTAACAACTTCAGTTAAAACATTTTTTCCACAACTGCCAACTAATAATATTATTTGTACAAATAACCAAATATGTGCTTACCATTATAAGTTGTGGATGTTAAGAAATACACTAACATAGAAAATTATTGCGATACACTAATTAAATAAAATTAAAAAAATAATTTGAATAATTTTTTTAAGTGCACTATTTTCGGTCCGTGGCTGTTTATATACATACATACATATTTTTGATTATGACTCGTTTGCAACACAAATTTACACATGTAACATATACTACTTAATTGTGACTTTTATATTTGCTAGAGAAAAAAATTGCAATTGAGTCGAGAAATATACTTTAACGTTTGGAAGCCATAAAAGTCTGGTCATTTGTGGACAAGTTTCTCTTCAAACTTTTGTAAGTGCAGAATCTATTGTAGGTCAAAACAAAACCAAAACCGCAAACACAATAAATGATGAGTATTTACGTTATGATTACTATTATTATATGATAAATCTATGACGGCATTAGCACAAAATGCGCACTATGCTCCCTTCTACCCCCACAACGTTAAAAAGTATTTAGAAACTTTTGCGAATTTCACAATTGTACACATAACATTTGTCATTTGTTGGCTTTATATCTTTCCGTATTCTTTTTCACATAACACTCACCCATAAAGGTATTGACCGTCAGTTCATTGCGATCGCGACCTCCGCTACTGCTACTGTATCCATGTCCACCGAGCAATGGCTGTGATTCTCGATTATCACTTCCTGCATCCATTATGGAAGCGCCCTCGTAGTCTACCTCTGGCACCAGACAGATCTCGTCACCGTCGTCTGCGCTGTCGTAATGACGATGTAGAGTCGACGATACCAGCTGATTACTTTTCGTTTGAAAATTATGCGATGTCGCTGTCACTGAAGATAATGATGGCGACAACAATGGCGATACACGCCGATTTACATCAGCTTGATGTGTTGGAGATGTTTCTCCACTGCCATATTGTGGGGAACTGTGAGCAATATTATTACTCCCGCTCACGCTACTTGTACTGCTGCTACTACTGAATATACCATTTTGACTACCACTACTACTAGCACGCTGATGCTGAGCTGTAGTGGTAACAACTAGTCCATTATTTGAAACTGGCGATGTATTGGATGAGAGCGAAAAGAAATTGCTGGTGTTGCTATTATTGTGTGCTGGGTTTTCTTCTAAAAACAAAAGTTTTTGCGTTATATGCTGTTGTTGTTGTTTTGATTGGTGAATATGATGCGACTGTCCGTTGAGCGAGTTGAAAAATTCACTCTCATCGGTAGCAGTGCCGTTACCTATGGTAACTACTTTATCATTTTCATCCACATCGCTGTATAAATTGGTAAAATTGCTACCAATATCAGTAATATGACCGTTGGTCTTTCCGCCGTTTACGTCTACGTCATAGACATCAACGTCTTCATCATCATCCGAATCATCGTCGACTGATAACAATATATGCTCTCTCCGTGACTTTTTCCTTGATTTTTTCTTTTTCTTCTTTGTTTTGTTCAGTCCGATTGTATTTATCTGCAAATGTAAAAACAAAAAAGAATAAATATAATGTACCCTATAGTCATTGTATATTTGCAAGTGCAGATTTTACACAATAAATAAAACGTAATAATAAGTGGATATGGGCGTATATATGTACATATGCATATAGATATTTAAAAAAGCTAGCATCCGAAAATTTTATATTTGAAACTTAGCGCTCACCTCAACTTGTGTTACAAGCTGTGTTCCATTCATTGGACATACAGAGGCGCCTGATCCCGGCGCGACTGATACAGCCGCAGCTGCTGCTGCAGCAACAGCTTCATCTTCAGATAATGTGCTGATTAAATCGACATTTTCTATATTTACCAAAGATTGATTAGGAGACGACATTGAAGAAAGTGTCAGTGGGGTCGACGAGAATGCAATGTAATATTTTTTCAACCGCCTTTAACAATTTGAACACTTTACACTGGCAAATTATATGTCTGTCTTATCTATATACACGTGTTAACATATGTGCCATTAATCCTTTTTTGGGACACTCAGGGTAGCTGGGTATAGCATGAACTTTATCGCGTTTCACATTTACATCAATTTTTAATAGATGATTACCATTTTATTTGGTCTAGCCTATTTTATTGATTTCTTATTTCCTTTAATCTGCGAATTCTTTCTTTGTTTTCCCCCATCAGTGATATCGGAGCAGCTGGGATTTTACTGCCGTTTCTTGCTCTACTCTTCTCCGCAAACTTTCATATCCTAATTATTTTTATAACGATATAACTATATTTATTTTTGATCTGGGCTCGCAACCCAAATTCACAGTTTAATATAAATTCGTTGAAAATAAAGATAAAGATTTTTTTTAAGGAAAAAATATAACAGTAAAATACACAATCACTTAGAAAAGTTCCTCCCTTCCTGACAAAAGTAGACAAAAACGTAGAAAAAAAATTTTAACCAATTACAAAGAGTGACAGCAGTTGTCAATAGCAATTTGTTAATAAAAAAATCGAATTGCCATGTCGGAAATTAATTTGAATACTATACTGCTTCATGTCATGATACTATACATTAACAAGTTCATGCAAATGTTAACAAACTTAATAAAATTTAAATTTAAATTTTCCAGGCCAAGTTGAAAAATAATGGGAAACTAATGATCACAATTAAATAATAACATACAACATAGTTTAGTCAAAATATGAAGTTGTGACATCCGTTGTTACTGTGAAAGTATTATTAACAGATTGTTTGTTTTGAACTTTATTGTTGGACATAGCGATTATTATTTTAGTTAATTTTAGATTTATGGTAACTGTGGCAACACTGATGGTAAAGTTTCAGAACAGCTGTTTGCTGTCTGTGCCATTTGCCAAAGGAACCGACCGACCACCAAAAATATAGGAAACAAATGTAGACTCTCAGGTGCGCGCCAGAGGCAAAGCAAAACTTCAGTTTTTATATCTCTTAAACAAAATAATAGAAATCTTATTCCGATATGAAATAATTGGATTTATTAAATAGTGTCTAAGTTGAAAATTCTAACAAAAAACGAAAAAAGATCTACCAATCATTAATACCATAATTGGAAACATTTGTCTTGGCTTACCCACCGGAAAAATTAAACAAGCTATAAATTAGAATTGTAAGTATTTAAATAATGGCTTAATATTCATGTTATAAAATTAGAAATTCGGAAAAATAATTATTCAAACTAATTTAACGATTGAACCTCGAAAACTTTGATCAGTGTGCGCTGCATTTGAAATGAAATGAAATTGTCTTGGCTTAATCAAGTGTTCGAATTGATTAGTGCGAGTACATTGCAATTGTACGAGGATAGCGGTCGGTTCCTGCATCAGTTTGTTGGCAATCAGACGCAAGCGTTGATTTTATTACAAGAAACGTGGCGTGCTAACGTTCTGCACTGGGCGATTCTATCGTATCGACGCTTCAGTTCGACAGCAATCGAAGCCCTGGAGCATATTATTTACGCGTGTCTGGTGTACTTGCTAGTATGCCTGGGCATTTTTTATACAACACGCAGCAACAGCCCATTGTGGCGTTGGTGCAAGCTGATCAACAATGTGCGCTTTCCAAGACAACACAAATTGGATCGTGTTTTACTGGTGACTTCACATCCGGACGATGAATGCATGTTCTTTGGCCCACTAATATACACATTAACACATCGTTCCAGCTGCCAAGTGTACGTGTTATGTCTGTCCAACGGTGAGTATGATTAATATCTTTAATTTACAAATGTGATTGAATGAACTCACATCCTGTGTACATATTAACACAGTGTTCATATTATAGTAAAGTATTTGATTACAAGACAGTAACTTGTTTAACTATTAATAGGTAATTATGAGAAACAGGCACAATTACGACGTGAAGAATTATGGCGTTCATGTGAAATGTTGGGTGTTCCAGCTGCGAATATTATAATGGTGAACGCAACAAACCTTCCAGATGACCCTAATGTTGAATGGAAAGCACCAGTTGTTGCTAATTTAATACTACACACCGTTGAAAGTCTAGATATTCAAGCGATCTGTACATTCGATCGAGATGGTGTGAGCCAACATCCCAATCACAGTGCAGTTTATTTCGCTGCAGCGTCACTCTGCTTAGCTAATTTATTACCAAAAGGTAAGTACATAAATAGCAATCAGCTGCATCAATTTTATTCCAGAGGTATACTATTGAGATAGCGTCATACCTGCCAGAGTTTCGAAACGCATGTAATTAGCATTTGTGTGTTGACAATGCGCGATGAATATATAATTAAATTGTGTTATGACTAAACATATCTATTACAACTTTTATTTTGTAATTTTTACAGAATGCAAATTTTATACGCTGGACTCCATAAATATTTTAAGGAAATATATTTCGATTTTCGATTTGCTTTGTACATGCTGCATTTCGTCATACTGGTGAGTTCACATCAAAGTCAAATAATTAATTAATAATTTGCTAGTCATCTATGTTAATATGATATGATAAGATATTATGTGAAATTTTCTGAGGTAACTCTAAAACAAGCACACTCATGACTTACCATAGTTTCTGAAGTTTATTACATTTCATTTGTTATCGTTTAAATATTAGAATTGTGTGCTTCGATTCACATTCTAAAATATTTTTATGAGAAAATAATTTTTATTAGTAGTTTTGACCAATGTTTTTCATTATTGAAGTAAACAGTGTTGCAATCAGTTCCGAGTGAATGTATGCCTACACACAACATATGTATGTACATACCCAAAAATGTTTGTAAACAAAATACTTTTAATGCCTTTCAGGTATATTCTCGCTGTTTAAAATTGAATATTTTGCGAAGTACATTTATAGAGAAAAAGTGTAATTCCTAAAAGTAGGTCAGCACTTGTAAATTTTCTATATTTTTTTGTTTTTACTCTGACGAAAGGTCATTATTTATTATAATTTTTTCGAATATACATATATAATAAATAAATATATTTTTACATGAACAATATAAATGTTAACCATTTCTACAAATAAAAATCAAAATGAAAAATATATATTATATTTAGATATACCTCTATTAAAGTAAACGTATTGAACATTTACATATATTTAGCATTAGACATTAAAATACAGTTTGAATGATGCATATATATATTATATGTATATTTACTTAACAATACGTTTCATTTTAACAACTATCGCTAACTTATATTTTCAAAATATTCTTTAAAGGTGTATATTGGGATGGGATGAGGCTGCACAAATACGTCGCGCTATGCGTGAACATAAATCCCAAATGAAATGGTTCCGTTGGTTGTATATTTATTTTTCACGATATATGTTCATAAATTCGTTGCGTGAGGTGAATCTTTCGGACATCGAATTGGAGATGCAAATTGACGATAATACCTTTTGATTTGCATCAACTTACATTAGCTTTAAACAATGCCGCATACAGTCAGCCAGCCAATAGTAAAAACTGAATTAAATCTAAAAATAAAATCAGACAAACCAGACGTACCACGTTGTAATAAAAATCTATGTATCAGTATGTGTAGCAGCAAACACCGAAAATGCTCCAACAACACAAAACTTAAAAGACAGACATACAATAGACAACACATAGCGCCAGCAACAACAATCATTGCAGCTGAATAAAACCATAAATAAAAAAGCTTACAAGAACTATTTTCACATTTATGAAAAGGTATAACGGTATGCTGCCGGCTAAAAGCAAAAACCGATAAAACATTAAATAACATAAAAAATAATAATTATTATTACGTGCAATAGCTGACCGGTGCAAAAATACATTAATTGACTAACTGCAATAATAATTTTGGTGCTGCTACAAAAATGGCAATAATAATGATGATAATGAAGTTTAGTGACGGTGGTGTTGTCGGCAGAGTGTCACGAATGTTCAGTATCTGGCGCCGAAAACTTTTAGAAACAGAAAACCAAAACCTAGGGTAACAAAGGGAATGTGAAGTCATTTGACGGCGTGTGAAAACGCTTTTGCCAACAATAATTGATCAACATGTGAACCTCTACATACTATTCGTACATCTAAAAAATGTAATATATGCGCGTAAATTTTAAGTATTGGGTACATGAAAAGCCAAAAACACATATCTGAACCCATTTCGTTTTGGTGTTCCCCACTTAAGTTGCTTTTCGTACTATTATTTATGCACTCTTAGTAAATCTAATACTTATTGCAAATGGAGAACTTTTATTCTCGGTAATTGTGATTATGAGATGTTAATGATGACGTTAAGTTTAGTGTAATAAATGAACAGCGATTGGTGTAGCGTGGTAGTTATTATTTTATTCGTATAATCAATGAGCAAAGCCAGTTCTTCACACAATAATAATTATAATCAATGTCATAGCACATTCATATGTAAATGTTTTACACGAATTGTGTATGTATTTTTACCTAATTGTTTAATCTATAATTTTTAGCTTAAGACAGTTAATAGGATTTGTTTTTCCTAGATTTGAGTTAATTTGTTTAAAGCTAAATTAAGTTGGAGAAATAATTTTATTTGTTTGTTTGTCTGTACATAATGTAATACATAAAACACATAGTTGTAACAACAGCGAAGCATATACATACCATAAAAATATATAGTTATTACAGATATACATTATATATTATATAGTGTGTATATTCATTAAATATATTTCTTAAAGTTTGTAATTTTTTTTTGTTAATTTGGTTATTGTTATATAATATTACCATACTTCTCACATATTTAGCACGAATATACACAGCGAAGCAATATGTTTAATTAATTTTCTTTGCATTAAATTAAGCACTGATAAAGCTTTTTGCAATGCCAAAACGTTAACTGAAAAGTTTTGCCTATAATAATTTAAGATTTGTTTGTGCCGAACAAAATCAAAATCTAATTAATCAATTAATACTGTAAAATAAATAATACCAAAACAATTTTAATTTATAAAAACAATGTGTGCAAAAACTCGGTGTTTGAAATTTATTTTTATAACTTTGAGATTTTTTCACATATGTATTACTATATTAACGTGATACTAAATTGTCATTCTTAATTTTGGATTCCCTGTAAGCCAACTATCGCTTAAATTACTGATTCATTACCCAACAGCGGTACCATAAGCTTCCACTAAAGTTGCTTAAATCTAACCAAAACTCTTGCGTAGGTTGGCTGGTTCATCCTTTTCTTACACATTGGATTTATTAGTTGCACGGTGTATATGTGTTAGTTTCTACGTTAATTCTTTTAACGTATTAGAGCTCTCGTGATCATGACTTGCTGGCTTGTGACTCATTAAAATTAATTTCATAAATCACTCATACGCCACGTTGTCAATTTTAATTTGGAATCTGAAGTCGCAATCTGGCTTAGTTGGCTTTAGGGCTTTACCTTATGTGCGATCAAATTAAAACAAGTTTTAGAATAGCAGGTTCTAAGCGAACCTGGATCCATATCCGACCAAGGACTTTCGACAGCAATCCCTAAAATGATTTTGTAATACATATATTTGGTTTGAAAAATTACAAGACACATAAACCTACATGAAATGTTCGTAATAAAGTCAAGTACGAAGTCTTACAACAATCAGGTCTTTTTTACTTACTTAAATTTAATCGGCACAGACTCCCAATGAAATGTCAAATACGCTTTTTAGCAACAACTTTTTAAATGATCAATCAAAATTCGATCGACTTTTCTGATATTTTGTAAAAATTTGCTTTCTTTTTTAATACCAGAACGTCAAACATAATTCCAATCCGGAAGCTAATAAGAATCTCAAACCCCATTTTAAGGGATTTAAATGGTAAAACTGCGCACCTGGTATTTTCTATCAAAAAATCTGGCTACACTAATTAAGAGACAGCTGATAGTAGTATGCGAACATTAAATAAAGTGATAAACGAAGTGTTTTTTGTTTTAAGGTATTTGTTGACAAAATGGGCAAGTAAATTGTTTCATTATATTTAATACTTATATTTTCAAGAAGCATTTGAACTTTTAATAAAGAGGAAGCAGGAAAAGGTGAAATAAAAAAGACATAAGTTTCCGGTGGAAAAAATGTAAGTGCTGATATATTAAAAATTACATTTATTAATTCATAGAGTTACAATGTATGTCAAGATTTAGTTGCTTATTTAAGCAATTAAGAAAGCTAAAATAATGAGCAATGGATACATACGTATGCATGCATATGAAACAAACTTTTCGAAAAACTTAAAGCTTAAATGTAATCCACTATCTTATTTGCTTGTGCTGCTGTGTATTTACGCTGGTCAATTAATAAGTGGACACAGGTATTGTTTTTATATCCATCCCTGAATCCCTTAAAATCTATGATCAGCTTGACGAGTTCAGTTTATTTAGCCATGCCCGTCTCTCCATATCTCTATATATACGCAAACTAGTTCTACTAAGTTTAGGAAGACATCATACATATTTACATACATATACTATAAAGTTATTTGTGATGTATCACTACTGATGAATGGCATTACGTTTATCCATTAGAAAAAAATTAACAAATATGAGGAAAGATAATATAAAAACAACAACAACGAAGCGATGACAATTCACTGAAGCTGCAGCTTCTTGTCCCTTCATTTCATTTATACTCACTTTGCGTCATCAAATATTATATATTCGTGTAATATTTTTATACTCTCGCAACATATTGCTACAAAGTATAAAGTTTTGTACACCCAGCGGTTGGTTGTTTCACAAAAAACTGATGGAGATAGATATCTATGTATGTGACAGATTTATGGAACACACGTTCCTTGGTATTGGATGGGCGAAAACGGACCAATGTTCCGCCTACTAATGGTCTTCGTCGATTTTTAAAGATGGGCGTACTCCCGCCCTTAATGGGTTTAAAGTACATTCTTGTGTATCTCTGTATCTGACAAACAACTAAAGCTAGATATAACCTATATAAATATTTCTTAACATTATGTAAAATTTCCCAACAGCCGAAATACTTCGCCGCTCGTGATCATTGCAGATTGCGAGAGTATAAAGTGTCCTGTTACACTCGAACTTAGGCTTCCTTACTTTCTCATACATATAATTGACTGAAATTCAATTCATAAGTCACCCCTTCGCCCTTGACAGCAGCAGCTGAGAGCCTTATACTTCTGTCCTAACGAGATTGCTGAGTAATTTTTAATTGCATAAAAACAACATTTCGTGAATTGTTGCATGAGAATTGTTGGTGGTTAAAATTTTCTTTAGTTGTCGTCAAACTTTGGCTGAGATAGTCCATTTCGTCGTCGTAAGAATATTTTTATAACAAGAGATAAGAATAAACAAAATGAATGTCAACTTGGATTTAAATAAAGTACACATTAAATTTTATTTTTCATTAGTAATAAGCACAAACAATATTTAACTTAAAATATACTTACAGTTGCTTATCATGTCAACGGAAGCAGAATTTCTTGGCGCTTATGAGCGCATTAAAGCTTCGAACAAACGTATTTTTGCCTGCATTGATGAAGCCATTAAGCATGAAGAACAAGAGCGGCCTTTCGAGGCTATTACGGCTTACGAGTCATGTTTGCAACAAATTGACGAAACATTTGCGATATCTGTGGGACTGCCGGACAATGTTGAGGCTGTAGCGCTTGAGTGGAGCGACGCTTGTGCAATTGTACAAAAGCTAAAGGGAGCCAAAATGGAAGTGTGCTACCGTCTAAAAGTGTTACGTAGCCAGCATGCAAGTGTTGACAACACTGCCGCGGAAGCAAAAGAAGAGGATGCAGATTCTCTACCTGGTGACGCTGCAGCACTAAATGGAGAAGCAATTGATGGACCCACACCAAAGAAAAAATCTCTTTTACTAGAAAACCCTGTAGTTTATAAAGGTGATAGCGCTGCAAATAGTGCGACTAGTGCAGCAGCTCATTACCGCAAAGTTTTAGCCGATTTACGCCGTGTTATCGCTGATCCTTCTGATGTGGGCATACTATTTGACACACTTTTTACGTCGCAGACGAAATTGTACAAAATTCAACCTGAAGGCGTTGTTGTGACTATGGTTGGTATTATTTTTTATTTTCATCAGTTTACTCATACGCCATGTATATTATATATGTACATACGACGAAGGAACAACGCTCAGATCTCTCCAACAAAGACATTTTAAGTACACATACAAATAACTTTGTTTGCAAATTTATGTAAAATATTGTTTGGCATATGTGTAAAAACATCTATTTATATAACATGAACAGGTATTTCAAGTTTACCACGAAGTTTGTAACACCCAGAAAGAAACGTCGTCATGCATGACGAGCTCATTCGATTTAGCCATGTCCGTCTGTCTGTACATATGAGCATGAACTATTCCCTCAGCTTCTGAAATATCGATCTGAAATTTTGCGCACGTTCCTGTGTCTCCAAGAGCTGGTCATTTGTCGGAACCAGCGATGTCGGATCAACATAGCAATAGCTGTCATACAAACTGAACGATCAAAACACAGTCCTCCTGTGGAAAACTTTTTTTGTTTCACTGATATCTTCAAAAATTTTGATATGGATATTGATTGTTGTTGTTGTAGGGGCAGAAAACATCCCTTAAATAATTAAACGAACGCTAACGGGTTGACAGTCCTTGGCCTGATAAAAATCCGCGTAGATTTTCAATTAAACGTGTGTGTTGAAGTGTTGTCAAACCTCAACTTTTAACTTTGTACCAGACGGAAAAATATTAATGGAAAAGGGATAAAAGGAAATATTTTTTATTTACAATTTCAAACTACAATCATTACGTAAAAATCCATATAAAGGTGAAATATTTCTCAAGTTCGTGGGGTAAAATTCGGAAACTGGACGAGAAAAGCTACAATTTGGAAACATCAAAATAAAATTAAGAGACCGATGAATGTGCTTGAACATAATTTCGATACACTCTCAGGAATATATTTTTGAGTAAAATTAATTTTATAACGATTTTGCTCCTCTTTAGTTATTGGAATTTTATCCACAGTGCATAATATATACTTGTATGTCCATAGATATCGTAGGTGAACTCCTTTCTGTTGGCATAAAAAAATAAATAATGGCAAAATAATAATTCTTATTTCAAAGGGGGTAGTATTATAATTGTTTAAAATATTGTTTTCAAAATTCTACTAATCATTTTATGAAAATTCTTTTTCTACGTAGGGCGAAACCTACATGTCTCTAGTTATGTGCACCACACCCTGTGACGACCAATGGAAGCATTTAAATGGTGTCTCATTTATACAGTGCACAATTCCAACAGATAAGGCACCTCACAACAAAACTGATCCTGACCATATTGAGATACCCACAAAGGAATCGCCCCAAATGATTTGGCTGTATGCCCTACTACCAACGATAACCAATTGTTATAGAACTAATTACGGCGCATTTATTTTGCCTGATTTAGAAGTCGATGAGCCAGGACATGCATTTGGACTAATGCTTATCGACAGCGAAAGCACTGTTGATGGCGCTGAGCAAGCTGCTGCACAGCCAGAAGAACAAGAAGAACTAAGCGATTTGCAGCAATTCTTTTTGGATCTGCTCGAGGCGGTACTCTCTGGTCATGTCGAACTTTTACAACAGCCAACAGTGGGACCACGCGTGCCGCGCGATACTAGCGAACAGGTCTCGCGCCATATCGTCACGGCAGCCGATTTCATAGCGCGCAATCTGGTGCGTGGCGCAGAGAAGACGGGTGAGTTAATGGTGAAAACCACACCGTACATCATTTCAAAAATGAGGCCAGCGCCACCGGATGCGCCGCCAGTCTCGTCGACCGTGCAAACCTCAGTGGCAGTGGCGCGCGATGTGACGCATGCGGCAGCGGGCGTCACTGGTTGGATAGCCGGCAAAGTGGGCTCCGCCTCGATGGCTATCGGCCGCTACCTAGCGCCACATGTGCAAAACGCTGGCTCTGCATTGTTGCAGAAAGGTTTTGGCTATGAAACCAGCGAAGCAAACAGTAAAATGGAGGGCGCTATGACAATAGCTGCCGGTGCGGTGGAGGGCCTCAGCACCGTTTACAATGGTCTCGAGACGTCAGCAAAGATACTGGGTACAAATTTGAGCGAAAATTCAGTGAAAATAATTGAGCATAAGTAAGTGTATTCGAGCCCAAAATATATTTGAATTAAATTGAATTTTTTTTTTCTCAGATATGGCTCCTCAGCTGGCGGTGTTGCAGCCGGTACCTTCGATACACTCGGTAACGCTTTCAATGTCAGTCAGAATGTGAACTACATTACGCCTAAGGGTTTGGCGAAAAAGATGGCCAAGAATACGGGCAAAGCAGTGATCGATGATTATAAAACCAAATTACGGCATTCGGACACACATTTTGTACCAGCGGGCACGCTCTATCCAGATTTGCGTACGTTGAAGGAGAAATAGACAGTCTGAATAAAACATTTCATTAACTCAGCAATATATAGGATATTTTAGCTTTTTTTCAACATGTCTTTCATATTTAAATATTCGAATATTGTTAATGAATCTCATAAACATAAGCCTAAACAAAGGGATTTTAATGCTTTCCATTCGCAAGCTTGTACTTGCATATTGTTATTGTAACTGCATAAGGTGTGATTTTCGAGTGAGGTATGAGGAGGTAGCGCAAACATTCGCTTTACATTGCTTAATGCAGATTGTTTACCAATGTAAGATACTCAAGGATGCTTTTATTAACTTCATCTGTAAAGACCGAATTATGCTATATTGTTTTTATTATAATTGGTTTATGGAAAATATTAATTACCAATAAAAGTATTTATGTAATATTAAATTTTTGCTTCTTTTATAATACTGTTAGATAACTTATCATTTCTATAAAGGGTTAGTATTGAATCCATTCCCAGAGGATGACAAATTTCAAATGACAAAAATCAGTATCATTATCACTGCAGTGGAATATGCGTTTACTAAGGCCTTTAGATTATTAAGACGAAAGTTCGAAAACGTGAAGTGACTTCGATCCACAAGTCCACAGTCTTGTGAGTCAAAATGATGTACTTCGTGGTCTGTACTCAGAACTATCATTATAACTAGATTGAGCAAATACTAATTGTGAGTTTTAGGTTAAAAAAAATGAGAATTAGGCACTAAACAAAGATTAGCTTTCAGTGCAATTTTCGAATTTATGCTTACAATTGGACCGGTAAACTTTCAATAAACGTTACACGAATTAAAAAATTTAATTAAAAAGAAACAATTGCATATAAATTCCAGTTTCCAATATGTATATGTATATATGTTGATTGATAAAAAATTTTGTGTATCATTGTATATTAAACATTTATTATAAGTTCCTTTATTCATATTTAAGTTTTACAGTTGTAAAAGCTAAGCGATTTCACGAGTAACACTCTCAATTAACAATATGCGCACCGGCTGAATGTGTGGCTTGCATCGTTTTTTCCTTTATTATATTATTGGAAGAGCTTATTTAAAGAAATTTGTTATATCAACTTATTTACTGAGATAGACATATGTTGGTATGAGTTTATATAATTAATCCAATCTGGCAATCGTGCAATATCTCTATTTCATTTTTCATATATATATATATTTAGTTTAACATATTTATATATATGTCATTACAATGTATATAATTTTTGGGACAGTATTCAATATATCTATATATAAACATTGCTTAATAAGAAAATTTAATAGAAATTATTTACAAAAATTCACAATAATTGATTTGCCGCAATTTGCTTGGAGGAACTCTTGTTTTTTACAAATTGCTGAGTGATTTGAGGTTTTTCGAATCGTACTATGACTACCGAATTTTATTTTGTGTTTGTGGCATATCTAATTTATACCAACTCTTTTTGGTTTTATATACAATATGCTATGGCACAGCGTTGCTACTAGTAGTTGTATGGTTATGATATTGTTTTGCTTGGGAGCGCAAACTAAAGCTAAGTGTTTGAGACTGAGACAAGTGCATGCGCCTGAATTTCTATTTGTATGTGTGAATGAAAATGACGTTATATTTACATATGTTCAAACCGATTGTACGAAACTAAAATGCTAATTATTGCTGTATATTATTTATATGTGCATATGTATTCTTGTTTTTCATGAGTGATTCATTTCATTTATTTTTTTAATTAATGTGTGTTTAATATTTCCAAGTAATGAGTTGTAATGAAGGCGCAAAAAAGTTAACAGAATATTATATGACGTAATGTAATTAATCGCTAAGTAATACAATAACAATTCCAATTCACAATTTCACTCATATTAAAGTACTTAGTTTTCAAGTGACCAAAAAGTATACCTGTAGCAATATTATATCTATGTAAGAACAATTTACGAACTTAATGATGAAAGCATAATTGAGTGACAAAATATGTGGCATTATAATTCAGTAGAAGATAATAACACCACACCAAGTGTGAGTATATGTATTTACATGATAAATAATGCTCTCTTTAATCTTTTACAACAATAAGTGTAATTATATATTTTTTTTTTTACATTATTGCAATAAAAGCTTATCACATTCATGTTGCAGAGCTTCGACTGCAATTTCTATAATATTCAATACTAACAAATAATATGTAAAAATAATTCGTTTTATATAAATAAACATAAGTGTTGTAAAGGACAGTTATTTGTGTTATTTGGAGCAAAACAAAAAACAAATCAGTAAAGAGATACAGTTACACAAAACTAACAATGGAAAAATGCGGACAAATAGCAATTTAATTTTTTATGAGTTTTGTAAATTAATTTACTTAGTAAAAAAATTATTGTATATACACGTTACAATCATGTATGCTGGATTTAAAGTCACCCTTAAGATCACTTTCCAAAACTTAGTTTTGTATTATTTCAGTGAGTTTATAAATATTTATTCCATTAAATAGTAATTCTCAATCAAAAGTATTCCAAAATATGCTCAAACAATATACTTTATTATTATGCAAATAAACGTGCATTAAATTTTACTCGAGTTTTTTTAAAGATATACATATATTTTGGTACACTTTTGGAATATGTGTGTTTTATTAACAATGAAATTCAAATAGCAAAAAGAAGATTAAAAAGAAAATATTAAAATTACAAAGAGGTTTCAAATTAAGTTTTATGTTTTTGCACGAGCACCAATTTTTTAGCTTATTGAAGAATTTAGTATGTTTGCTTTCCACAAGTTCTTTCTGGCGTTATCTACTTAACACATCATGCCATTTACAACACAATATAATAATATAAACATAAATAATCAAAAAAGGGAAAAGTGGTTCTTCACAAAAAATATTTACATATAAAAAATAAATATTTACAAAAATTAGAAAATAGCTTTAAGCTATAAATTTCTTTACATGCATTATACTGTATATAATAATAATAATAATATAGATATTTTACATGTTTTTTCTTTTGGCTTTTAAATAACTTATAACTAGGGCTTCTGCTTTTAATTGCGATCAAAGTTTTTTGCATGACAATTAATATCAGGCTATGTATTTGTATGGTTTCCATCTGATTTCTTGCTTGTTTTGAACGCAGCAGATATTAGTTTTACTATTCTCTCTCCTGCCCGCTCACTTCTCCTCACTTTACATAAGCAGTCCCGTGGTGGATGAGTGTCATAAAGCACTAGTGGTGGTCGCATCTTTGGTTAAATGTGTCTCAATGTCGACACGACAGATGGGACAATGCTTATTTGTGACCAGCCATTGATCGACGCAATCAGTATGGAAGAGATGCATGCATGGCAAACGGCTGTAAAGTATATAAAAAGATGCCAAATAAAACTAAGCATAGACGGAATTTCTAAAATAAAGACCGAGACTTTTATTTTTATATGTGATCGCACAAGGTAACAAATAATTTTCTTAGAAAATACCGCAAGACTTTTTTGACAACCTAATATAAAGGCCGTTTTCAAATGTTTGGTTAGCAGCCATTTGTAAGTTAAGTTCTGATTGAAAAAAGGTTTTTGAGATAATCACCTGAAATTCTGCACCCATCATTTTCTGTAGCTATACATAGCTGATATCTTCACGAAATTTGCTACAAATTGTTACACAAGGCATCGGTACAGTCTTCGAACAGAATATAACATAAAGCTGCCATTTAAGTTGACCGATCAAAATCAAGATAAAAATATTTTTATACAATTCTATACACCAGTGAAGGGTATTATAATTTCGATTCAAACGATGCCAACGTATTTTATTATGGTTTCTTTGTCAAAAGGTTTAATTTTTATTTGGTTGAATTCTCTGATTAAAACTCTACAATCTACATGGTAATCACGCAACGAAGATATATACTCCTCTTCCCACGAGGGTCGATATTATGAAAGCAAATAATTAAAAATAAGTGTTTAATTCACTCACCGCACATCATTCTCAATTTCAAATAATGACAAACAAATGGCACACTTCTCGGCATCCTCATCAGATTCGCTTGGGCGGCGAACACGTTTGTATTTATGTGGCAATGTATTGCGTTCAATGATTTCCTAATATCACAGTTATTATATCAAATTAATAAACGATATTTGTTTCCAATGAAGTGTATATTTACCAGAGTGGCGCCACGATTCGGTCTTATGGCAGAACCAATTAAAATATGCGGCCCTATGTGTGAAAGCGGTGTCGAAAGTCCAATTTCCAGATGCACCGGTGAGTAATGATGGAACATGTGGTGATGCACGGCCGATCGTCGACGTTGTTGTGCTTCATAAGGATAGTACGCCTATAAGATTGCATGTACATAGGGCATATAGTAAAAATATATAATATATAATAATATATACGTATAGCAAAAAGTGTTTTATACTCTTTTATTATCGTACGAGATTATTCATTGTCATTTATTCACAATTTTGGTATAACTTACCGGATCTAAACTGGACACCGGTCCATTGCTGGCATGCACACACGAGCATGTATTCGGTAGCTGTGAACGCCAACGGAAACTATTTGTTAGATTCAGTGGATTCGAGGACAAATCAATGGGTGTGGGTGTCATGTGGCGACGATGAATTTCCTGTATATGTTGTTGGCGATACCAAAGATTTTGGTGCACGGGATACGGCGGTGCTGCACCGCCATGACGAGCACCACTATGATGGCCAGCACTACCAGAAGGCCCGCCAATACCACTACCACTTGGTTGCAGGCGACCCATCAGCGTAGGGAGTGGAGCACGTGCTCTCGCATTTACCGCAAATGTGGGATAGGGCAGCATGCCACTGACACGTTCATCGCCGCCTCCGCTACTGCCACCACCACCGCTATTACTCGAATGTCCTACAGCGGTCAGTGTTGAAGGAGCGTCGGGCGGTGGACCCGGTGGGTGTACTGCAGGAGCTGTGGCAGAAGACACGTAGTTAGCTGCTGTAGGCGATACACCTTGCATGTGTCCAGCGCTGATGTCGGTATGGGGGTACTGCCGTGCAGCTGCTGCTGCGGCCGCTAATGCCGCACCGGCTAATGTTGTACGACTTCGGCCGAACGAAGAGGAAGGAATGATTGTGGGCTCTTGTTGTGAATGAATGGTTCGCTGTAGTGGCGGCACTTCGTCATCGGCGCGTCGGCAGTGTAAATAAAATGGCGCTATTTGCGGTATGGGTGGACTACTATTATTGTTGTTGTTATCCCCAACTGATGTATTTGAATATGAACCGCTGCTGCCAACAGCAATATTTGAACTGTCAGCAGCGTCGACGCTCTCGTTAAGACTGACAGCAGGTATACCCCTGGGAAAGCGTGAAGGGCCAGTAGGACGCGTTGAGTAGAAAAGATTGTTTCCTTCGTTGCGACTCTGATGTGGGTGCATAGGTGCATGAGCCCCTGGCACACGACCCCCAAATAAATCCTGCAAAGACACCTCTTCAATGGTGGGTATAGAAATAATGGCGCCATCCGTATTTGGTGCTGTTGCTGTGGCACCGCTGCGTAGAACTGGTAACGCCGAGCGGCCCATTGTGGCGGCCGCCGTTGGCATATTTAATTGTGGGGAACGTCGAAGACGCCGCATTTCCGGACATATACCATGCAGCTCATGCATCATGGGTCGTTGGTGTTGTACCTGATGAGCTTGTTGTGGTTCGTAAAATGGATTTGGAGCCGGTATATACTTGTAATAACGATTACGCAGCAGTGAGGAGAATCGCTGGTGTGGCGGTTGATGTGCCTGTTGCGGTTGATATACGGCATGCCTCATACATTCGTGATGGTGTTGCGGATGCGCTAGGGGTTCATCAGTTTCAATATTGGAAGACGCTTGCTGTTGATTATTCGAACCGGCTACATCCCACTGTTGATAACCTGGCGGAACAACTGCATATGGATGCAGTAGTGGACCGCCTGCTGCCACATCTCTAAATTGTGGATTCAAACGAAAATAATTCGATTGTGCGCTTTCCATCCCTTCTATTGTTGCTCCATTAGAATCTGCAGCGGTACCGTCATCACCGCTTACATTTTGTACTGGGGCAGGCGTGTCCTCATCGGTAGTAAGATCAATTGATAGTATTGGTTCGCGAGTGGAATGAACAAATACAACATCATCGTCGTCACCTGTGGAATCCGATAACCAATCCAATTGCAAATCAGGAGCGGTTAATACAGCTGTACCATCACCACTTCTATTGGATATGTCCATGGAAGCTGGACTTTTAGACACAGTGGCTATCGAACTGTTTTTATTTGCTCCACTGGCGGATGTAGAAGCTTCAATCGAGTTCGTAGCTACGGCTCCAGAAAAAGTTGGCCGCTCGTCATCGATGTAGGGCTGCATTACCGTAGGCGATGACACCGCCGTCACCTCTGTAGGTAAATTTACTGATGTGCCTACCTCGCCCGCATCAGACGCAGATCCAACTGAATACCCAGTGGTATAAATATGGGGATGCTCCTCTAAATCACTGTCCTCCAAAAGCACTACACTGTTGTCTGTTGAATGACCAACACTATGACCAGCATATGTGATCACGTATGAGCCTCGTTCGACTGCCGCACCATTGTTCGATGGCGCTGTACTACTAGGTGGGGTCAAAGGCCGTGTTACCTCCTGCACATGTTGAGTAGATGGTGATTGTGGTACCTCATCCACCTCGCTGGACTCATGCACATTCAGCATACGCCACATTATACGACGCGCAGTCCGTCTATCGGCAGAATCACTGGAGTTAGTAGCATCATTATCTACAGATATAATACCACAGCTAGCATTATCAGTATTAGACCGCACAAGGCTGCTGCTTATACGTGGAATTTTGGCGGCCCTTGGGGTTCCATCTGCTGGTCGACAGCTACTCGATCTTTCTTGTGAATAGATTTCACGCCGATCCGTTTCCTCTTCCCTTGAGTCGCGCAGCCATTCATTAGTAACCCCACCTCTTCTAAACTGTTGCTGCTCGCGATCCTTAATGCGTTGACGTTCACGTTCTCGCCAACGCAGAAATTCATGTGGATTAGGCCTAACATGTTGTGCTCCTCCCGGGGTGCTAGTATTACTATGAACGCGCGGCTTATGCAAATTCCAAATAATCTCATCATCATCATCGCCACCATCATCATCTGCCTGATGCGTAGTTCGACTGTGATCGCTATTGAATAAAGCAAATGCTGAGCTTCCAACGGAGCGAAAATTAGTCGATGAATGCGCTTCATCACTAAAACCGTTAGGTGTAGCACAGTTGTTGTTTGAAGCTCCACTAAAGCTGGGTAATGCATCCATGTCAGCTAAATCGTCTACGTTGCCCACCGACCCACGATTACTGATCGAACTGCTAACGCTGCTTCTGCCGTCAGCACCACCAGCATTATTACTACCATTTCCATTGCCGCCACTAGAGCCCACTGCATTTGTAGGTTTACTTTGCTTCTTTATAGCATATGTGGTTGTAGTCGTGTTGGTGGTACATGTGTCCGCAAAATGAGCGCGTTCTGTGTCAGATGCAGAGGTCACCTCGTCGCTGTTATTAAGTGATATTGGAGATGTATGAAAGGTATCATTTGTATGCGCTAAAGCTTCACTAGATTCCGTAGGTAACTGCAAATTTTCATCATTATCTCTCTCAATAGCAGTTGCGCTCGTCGACAGATCTAACCTGTTACTCCTGATATCACCTGTTAACCCTCTGTTACCTTCCGACTCCTCATTTCCGTCATCGTTTGCTGCGGTCGTGGTTGATGCTACCATCATTTCATCATCCAGCGAGTCGACGGATGCATTGCCATCAGCGATAGCAGAGAATGCAGATGCCATAGCACTACTGGTTATCGTAGATACTGGAGCATAATGAGGTGTACGGACATTATTGTTGTGCGTCAAATGTCTTTGATTTTCGGAAATAAAGGTGGCGATATTTAGAGCAGTCCCGCTAGTAGCGTTTGCATCGCTCATTTGGGTGGAATTGGCAAGCATTTGTTTGCATTTAATATCAGTCTTTTGAGTATCAACAGTAGAAGTAGCATGTGGCAAAGTTAGGGCGGTTACATCACTTGAACGATCGGAAGGTGTCCAATAACTATCTAAAGCATAATCGTGTTCGTCATTAACAGCGTCAACTGTTCCGACCTCTTCAGTATCTTGCAAGTGCATAATTGTATTGGAACTAGTAGCAATATTTTCGTTCGCCTCATCTGGCACCTCACTAATATCCATATGATTGACTCTTGGCAATTCATTTGTAATAAGATTAGTTGTCAATGCTTCTTGCTGTTGCTGTGCAGTATGCATATGGTCTACGCCATGTACAGCGTCATAAGATGAGTGGTTGAGCCTGAAAGTTTGTTATAAGTTAATTTAGAAGACAAAATCATATACAAAAATTATATGAAAAATCCTACCCGCCGGAGGTTCTATGTGCGCAGTGGCATGTGTCAGACAAACATTTGTTGCACACAAAATAAGGATCACGTCTTATCAAACAAGCATCATAAGCGCAACGTTCACTTGGAATATCACCATCCATTTGTATGGTGGATGTTGCTGAGTGCATATTCTGATGTTGAATCTGGTGCTGATGCTGGTGCTGTTCCACATGTGGATGAATGTGTGAATGTACTGTATGGTGGGGTCGATGTGTCAGAGCATGTCGATGGGAATGTACGTGATTGTAATGATGCAGATGGTGTCGCACCGGCGGATACATTTGTACTCCAATAGAACCAACCATTGGTTGTGTAGACACGGAAGGCGATGGTGCATTAACAGCGGGATCATAGGATATCGTTGTGGTGACACCTTCATAGTGTGTTGTTGCATTGTGGGGTGTAGTTGGTGTTAGTACAGGCGGCGGATAGCTGGGTAAGTTGTGATAGTTTGTTACCGCGGCTGTAGCTGCAGCAGATTCGGCGGATGTGCCCATATAGAAAGTTAATGGACTTTGCTAAAAGAAGAAAAATATACCAATATAATGACTATTTATAGGTGCGGAAAGTGTGAGCGACTAAGCTGGTGCTTGCAATGTACAGCTCACAACTGTCGATCCACCACCAAGTAGATGTGTTATTTACTTCGATTGACAATCCCAAAGTGGATGTGCGGTCGCCACGATCGTAGACCAGACCATAGGAATCGGCTAGAAAATAAAAACTTGATTCAAAGAAATATACATAATAACGTAAGTAGGGTTAATTTAAAAAAAGTGTTTTTTATCTTACGTCCATCGTCGTTGATTTCCATTTCATGATGATAGGCTGGAACTTCAATTTCATGACGTATATGGCGCCGCATTTCGTCTCCATTGTTCTCCATTATACTGCTTCTTAGACTTTCACAGTTATCGTCAGGAGCTAGATTTAAACGCGTTACTGCATTTTATTAGTGCAAAAATGCAAGTGTATCATGACACAATTTAAATGTTTCTTTTTTTGTCGTGTCAGCTGAAAATCAAAAATTACAAAACTTATGCATTTAAGTCAAAAATTGTGTGATCATTTATTAATAATTAATCAAGCAAGAAATATGCACACATATATATATTTACATGTACATATGTACATATACGTTTATGTATATTTACTTATTCTGACGTGTGTCATTCGAATTTACGAACCACCTATTTGAACAACATGATCACTACAACAGCTGTTAAAAACACAAAATTCGTTAGCTAAAATAATAAAAACATAAAGTTACCTACCATTCTTACTACAATATACATATGTAGCAAAAAAAAAAAGTTAACAATCCGAAAAAGAAACTAATATGTATATCTTTTTAAGATTTCGTATAGCCGAAATTATATCTATAAACTTAAGCCCCTATTACGGTTTCCAACTCAATTAACTCAGCCAAAAAATTATGGTTTTTAACTCTGTGCAAGTGAGGTTGACAAGAATATCATAAATTAAAACGACTACCTAGTTCTTGAACACTACTGTGTTTTATGAGGAATAATATTAAATAATAATAAATTGTAAATAGTTTAAAATAATCTTACATTATTTTTAATCTTCTATATTGGTGAAAAATCCCGAAGCTGGATGCAGCAAGCCCCAATAAATATAAAAGACATCTAACATATAATATATTCTATAAACATACTAAATACATTTTATCAATAAAATTGATAATTTTAATATGCATTACCTTTGAAAGCAATATCTGAATGGAATTGCTTCATTTTATTAGAAGTTAAGATGCTTTAACTTCAATTCAATGGAATGGGGTGGCTTACCGTAACAGAGGTATCTAGTACAAACAATCTATTGGGAACCGGCAAACATACATATACATAATCCAATTTTACGAAGTGAAAATTTTGACCAGTGATTTTTATGTTTACTGGAACAATATGCATAACTAAACTTCTAAAAGGTTTTAATCATGCTCATTTTAATCGAAAACGCTCATTAATATTTGAGCATGGGCAAGCCGAGTCGCATGATTAATAATATATAAATAATGAAAAATAAAAACCACGGTGAAAAAATTGTAAAGGACCGTAAATCATAGAATGAGTAATATATTTTTACATATGATTAAAAAAATTTAAAGAAAGGAAGTATGTTATCGGGACAAATCGCCCGTTATTGCACTGCACATATACCGCTGAAGAAATATAAAAAATCTTAATTGCACCGAGGAAACGAGCTTCCATTAGAATTTTGTGTCATTGAAAAATTTAAACTTTCTGTGTGTTTTTCATGCCCCACATATGTATGTAAAAAGTTACATGGATAGTGCCATATTATGAAGTAGTGTCGGAAATCTCGAATGTCGACAACAAAAACAGCTGCGTTCTCAGCTGTATTCGTCTCTGCTTTTTGTATTTCCTTTTCAGTTAATTTTATTTTTAGCCTATTCTTCTACCACTTGCACGTTTATATAAACATACATATGTATGCATATAAGCAATTTACTTTATTTGTTTTCTTCTATGTATTGTAAAGCGAAACATGACAAAAATCACCCTTCGCAGGTCTAAAAAGCGTACTTACGTCTTCCAATATGACGGTTTGTAAACGTTAAGTATTTACAATCCTATAAAACTGCATTTATCTATCCAAATTATTGGCTTATGCCAAAAAAAATTATGTTCGAGTTCTGCGGTAGACAATTCCGTTGTAATTAACACTACCGCGACTGATAAAGAGCACCCACCACCTCCTCTTCCGAACGTAAAACACTTATTTCTCCGTTTTTTTTTTCATTTACTTCTTTCTTGTTTCACTTGTCTCCCATTCCAACCTAGAAAACTTCACAATTTTCTTTCATTATAACTTTTCCCTGTCTAAATTTACACTTCAAAGGTTTCTTATTTAACAGTCTACAACTATTATCCATTTATTTGCTACATATTTATTTTATTTATTATTTCCGAAAAATTATTTTAAATATTCACTCCAATAATCACAAAATTAAATCTTATATTTGCCAAAAGCCCAGACAAATTATGAAAATTATATCAGAAACGCAATGAAACTGGAACATTATATCGTTGCCACGTGCAAATTTAAAAAGTCTTCTTCTTCTTAATTGGCGTAGACACCGCTTACGCGAGTATAGCCGAGTTAACAACAGCGCGCCAGTAGTTTCTTCTTTTCGCTACGTGGCACCAATTGGATATTCCAAGCGTAGCCAAGTCCTTTTCCACCTGGTCCTTCCAACGGATTGGAGGTTTTCCTCTTCATCTGCTTCCCCCGTCGTGTACAACGTCGAATACTTTCAGAGCTGGAGTGTTTTCGTCCATTCGAACAACATGACCTAGTCAGTGTAGACGCTGTCCTTTAATTCGCTGAACTATGCCAATATATCTCATACATCTCATCGTTCCATCGAATACGATATTCAAATACAAATGACCATAAATCTTTCGCAGAACTTTTCTCTCGAAAACTCTCAACATCGACTCATCAGTTTTGTCATCGTCCAAGCTTCTGCACCGTATAGCAAGACGGGAATTATGAGGGATTTATAGTTTGGTATTTGTTCGTCGAGAGAGGACTTTGCTTCTCAATTGCCTACTCAGTCCGAAGTAGCACCTGTTGGCCAAAGTTACCCTGCGTTGGATCTCTCATCGGAGGCTTTTGCAATTTTTTCATTGGGAGTGTTTGTTTTTACCTGGCGGGTCCCAAACCCAGCGCACAACCCTATGTAGGAAATGTTTCGCTTTCTCACGTTAGCTCGGCTTCAAACGGATGTTATTAGGCTACCCAGAGGATACTTGGTCAAAGACAGGAAGTCGTGAGCTGCTTGAGTCATATGTAGAAGAATCATTTCTGGCCACTCCCGGGTGAATGGCGATCAGAGAACTTTCCTCACTTGCTTGAACTTCTACACATGACCCCATCCCCATTAAGTAGTGATTTTAGAAAATTTTTATATTTGACTATTTGTTATGATTATTATAATAAATTCGCAAAAAGAAATCATACAACAAGAAATTTATTTGTACGATGAAGGTAAACATCACTAAAAATATATCAACATGTCCTCAATTTGGATAATAATCACTCATAAACAAATGATGAAAATGAAGTCAATCGATCCGTTGGAAGCTTTGCCCATCTTCGAATTTACATACTCTATGCAAGCAGCAGCACAAAGTTTAAACTGTTCTACGGCTCCTACTCAGCTCGTTGTACATTTGTTCACCTCCACTTTCTGCATTACACCTTGTACATCTGGATCTTCTTTCAAAGACTTTTCCATTTCAGCCTTAACTTTATTTAGCTCTACCGACTGTGAGGATCAACAGTACCAGGATCCTATTTCTCCGACCTTTGTACTTGTTTACGCTTTCCTGCTCTTCCAAAGGACCAATCTACTTGCTCTTCTGGCTGCGAGGACACCTTTGTTGGGAAAACTATTCCGACCGCTCTTCCTATATTGATATATGAGCCCTGTGCGCCTTCAACTATGCTGACACATGTCCACTAAAACGCAGTCAAAATAACCTCTGTTGAACATTGAGTCTCTTGCTTTATTTGTTCTAGTTCCGATTGAAACACATATGTATTCGTCAACATTACCGCTTCTATTTCCATGGCCATTTGTTCTCAAACATCGTTCAGATCGTTAAACTCTGCCATTTGCGAATAATTTTCTCCTCTGAAATTTATTTGAGAATCCCAATTTTGACACCAATTTTAACGGATTTCTCGATAAATCGTCTACCTTGTAACGCACTCTTGAGTTCGCTCACTGAATTATAAACAATTTCAATGGAGAAACTTCCATAGTCGTGAAAAATTGTGCTCTACCTTGTATGAATTCGCCGTATCCGAATTTTTGGTTTTATCGATAACATTTGGTCGTAATTTGCTTTCAGTGTTGCATTTTTAAGCCTATTCTAGCACAATATTTTGGTCAGAACTCAAGTACTTAAACTTTTTTCATTACCAATTATTATCAATTGAATAGCCTAATAATATATAAAATTACAATATGTTTATGTCTTGCATATAGATGTTACAAAGAGATGAAATTTTAAAGTTTAAATTAAAAAGTTCCGGTTTTAAGAAATAGTATTGCGGTGTTCCGTAGTATAGCTGTCTTTTGGACCGAAATTTAAAATTTGGTTTTACCACCCTGCCAAAAGCCGAATTTGTACTCTATTCGAATTTTGTAAATTCCTTTGTTGGATTTTATTATTAACGGAAATTAACACGCGAACACATCTTCTGAACTTCTGTCATTTAGTGCGCTAATGAGTGGTGGAAACAAATAGTAAGGAAATTTACAGGTAAATAGGAGTTTGATTTTATGACAGTGAATGTAATTAATTCAATAAAAATAGTGAGGTAGGTTGAAAATAGTCATTTTTAATATTTGCGAAAAATCGATTATGCCTGAGTGTGGTAGAGAAAGTTTGAATTGCATACCACAAGTTGAGGTTTGGTTCATCATTAATTGGGTTAGGGGGAATGCATATATGCAGAAAATGCATCCAACATGGCTCCCGTTGAATTTCTGTAGCTTGAAATTAGCAAAGTAAAAATAGCCTCGAACTGTGACGGTGCTTGCAAGTTAAGCAAGTAAGGCGACATTGGGTTGTTCCACAAGCGTACCAAAGATTGACGTCCAAAATACCAGCGGATTTTTTATTTGCTCGTTTGTGTGCGTATGTTATGCTTCGACTATGCCGTTTTTGGTGCACTTCCATTTTTGTCGGCCTGTTTCGCTGCCTAGCAGACTGTTGCCTTCTTTTCGTAATGTTCTCCAGCTGTCATTTAAGATAGCAGCTGCAAAATTAATATAGGGAGTATCATTTACTGTGGTTCGAGTTTCTTCAGTCAGTCAATCAGTTTTAGTGCTTTGTCGAAGCTTTTATTTTTGTTTGCCTGGTTCAAAACCAGATATAATCGGTTCGGTCAAGTTTTACAATAAACGTATGGAAGAACTTCAATTCGATTGGAATTGGCACATACTGTGTATTTGTAATCAAGTACAACAACTATGTTAGTAGACCGTAGCGTTGGTAAGAGGTAATGCAAAGTCATAGAACGGAAACCGGCCAAAGTGAATAATTTTTATTATTTTAGGCTCAGGTACGTAAATATTGTCTGATTCATCGTTCAAAATATGACTAGCACATATGTATGTACATAAGTACGTAAAATGTGAGTATTAGTTTATAGAAAAATTGTTAAAAATATTACATTTGAAAATAGTCTTACAACAGTTACATAAATAACTTAATGAATTCCGCTACATTGACAGTTTACGTGTTAAGATAAATTTTCAAATAATCCAATTTTTGTATAATCCGTATAGAGATATGTTCATAAAAGCAAAACGTCTAGTACTATATTTTCAAGTAATTAAATCATTAATATGTATTTATATCAAATGAGAAAAGCGTTTTATCAACTCAATTGTAAAAATTGTTTAATTATATAATTAACAATTTTGTAATAACTTACTATTTGGAAATTACTGGTGAAGAAATTGTCATTGGGTACCCCCTACAGTACCAATATTTTATATAAACGCTTTCAAAATGCGTTACCGATGGTTAGAATTCGTTGATTGGACAAATGATTGTCTGTTTTGTTTTGTGTTTGTGACTTTTAAATAAATTGGTTTGTACATGCCCTTCTCAGTTACTGGTTATAGCATTAACAATATTTGCTAACGAGTACGTTGCGTTTTTTCTATCTCCATAATGTTGATCGCTAACTAACCGCCAGGATATGCGAATCCCTGTTCCAAATATGACTTTATGAGCTATGTATATCGTGGGTGGACATAGTGATTTAGCGGAAGGCTCAGGTGTTAGGGAAATAAAGTGATGTAGTTATCCTCGTCGTATCATAATATAATATATGTATATAAAAAAATGTTATTTCGGAATTTTTTTTTTTTACATATCTGAGGGATAAAGATATATTGTCAGTTATAAAACTTAATTTTAATTAAAAATCTATAAACCAACTTTAAATATTAGCATTTGATAATACATATATGTACAGAAACGTATATACTTCACTTATGTATGTTATATATATATACTATATATATATTATACTCAAGTACATATTTTCATAAATGCCATAATTACGAGGTTTTTGCACTCGCAAGAGTTCATTGTTGTTCTGTAAATCATTGCTTCTCTTATACATACAGTCATGGACAAAGAAATAACATGCTTCGAGCATGAAATAAAACGAATATAAATTATATTAATATAAACGAAATTGATTTTTTCATTAGCAAAGAATAAATTTGTAAATAAGTATGTTAACATTTGTAAAAAAAAAAATTAAAAAGATTTTTCAATAGTTGTTTTAAAATAATTTATTGAGTCAGCAATTGCGTATTTAGATTCGGACATAGAAATAGCACGGTAGGAGTAAGAAGTGGTATTGCTTTTAAGCATTGAAAACGTTAAAACTTTGTAGTGTATTCACAAAACTTAAAACTGATTTGAATAATATAACTGCTGTTTCTCTACCGGTATTTTTATGTGCGCAATTGGCATATCACACTGATTTCTACCTGTCTCTTATACACATCTAGATGTGTATAAGAGACAGCTTCATAACTATAATGTTGCTGCAATAAAGTTGCCAAGGGTTTTACATTTAGCTTTTGAGAGAGGACTTGTCATGACAAACAATACACTTGTAATATTATCAAGAGCTATCGACTAGTCGCCAGCAATTCTCCACCGCCCACAAATGATGTCACTTTACATGTGTCTAGTATACAACTACGTAGTAGGGGGAACTTCCATCTTTATCTCTAAATATACTATACATTTACATTTGCGTACATATATTATATTTTGGATGTTTGTGTTTCATATATTGTTAAGTACATATAAATCCGACCGACAAAATGCGTATTTTATGCATAAGGTACAGTATGGGACACAAAAATAAGGACACAATAAAGTAATATTTGATTACAAATTATTTCGTTTCTGTTCAAC